CCCCCTTTTTCACTGGGATAAATTAGGCTTTTGAGTGTAATATTTGTATTATAAATGTTGTCTCAGTTTAAAATGTATCAGTATGTGAAGGAGAGTGGTGTACAAGTAGGAGTGAGGTACCTGTAGATGTACCTGTAATACATCTGCATGTAGTGAGTATACTGATATTATATAGGACAAATGATGTACTTCTTGATATAAATTTTGCATCACTGTATGATATTTATGGGTGCAGTGCCTTAATATTTGTGAATTTACATATATGTGACACAGTTAATTGGTTTCCTATTTACTTGATATGGACTTTATCTTCTGGAACCAATTAATATCGTCTTTATATACATTTGGCACTGCACCCATTTTCTTGTGAATAATGTTGATTTCTATAATAAATGTTAACTGGCCTTTTTTGTCTGGTTTTGTTATGGGCGGTTGGGTTGATAATTAACATAGTTTCATGTACATGTACCTCTTCCATGTTGATTATCTGTCGCCTCTCGCTAGTCCATACGTCAATAAGGGGAGGCTACTGGTTCAGTAAATACTGCTTCCATCACGATGAATGGTCCAAGTCAACTGATAAATAAACAAAAGCTTTCACTGATAAATATAAACATTTAACTTAGCATCTGGATACCAATTAAGTCAATACAAAATGAAGAGTTAAAGCAAGGTTATAATCTACTTTCGATTTGTATATCCGTATCCATAGCATATTGCTACTTTCGGTTTAGAAACAAAACAATAGTAAGCTTATAAATCACTATGGGGTACACCATGTTGTCACCGAATCAGCATCACCATGTAATCACGTTATTACATAACACAAATACGAATATGATTTTATGTTTAAGAACTTGTTATGTATCCGAGACCTAAAACGTAAATACAGTAAATAAAACTTACCCTGCTATCCGACCTGTTTATACCATACGGTCCTTCTTACCGTTTTTTGGTACACGAATAGTCCACTCACACATACTAGATTAAATGTAAAGGACATATGAGTGAGTTCATGTCAAGTCCCCTTCATTATACGCCTTGTATTGTTTATATCGACTGTAGTTATAGCGAGCGCAGCGAGCTCTTTTTTGTATCGTATGCGTGGTATATATATATAGTTCAAGCATCAATCTATATATAGTAACACAAAACGAAACTACAATACTATGCGATCTTTTTTCTTTACATCGTGCAGAACGGACTTTAAAATTTGCGACGCTCTGGTTGGTTATTAATAGATCAGAAGTTAAAAAATCACCGTTTTAAACATCTCTGTGAGAATAGAAAATATGTTTCACAGCGTAACTTATTTGCGTAAACTTTGCAAACGTATTTGTTATGGTTTGAAATGTTTCTTCATTAAAACGGGTTTAAAAATTAAAGTTTTCGATGTTTTTGACGAATCAGGTTCAGCAATAAAAATATTTGTGGTCTGAAAGTCGCGGGCTTCAAAATTTGCTACATTTTCATTGGTTGAAAAGACCGGAACAAATCAAATTCGCCGGGTATAAGAACACGGGAGGGTAAAGGCCTACTGATCGACAAGAGTAGCTATTGAGCGAATTTAACCAGTATTGACCTCTCACAGACAGGTATTATGTTTTACTCTAAGGTCTACTGATTTCAATATGTGCCTGTCACTCTATCATCAAGAAAGCAGTCGTCAGCTTCACGAAAGCTAGGCCTGTGCAAGTCTAGTCTCAACGACAATGCTGATGTGCCGCCTGGGATATATGTTACTATGTACGCGCATAAATGTGTACTTTTATGTGGGTTAAAGGTGATTGAAATAATGTATGCTTCGCCTACTTTGTCAGTTCGTGTCGGTGTCACAATATTCTTGTTATTTTTGTACTTTTATGTATGTGGTTGGGCAGTGCTAGAATTGTAGAATGTAGAATGCTAGCTGTGAGTGCCGGAATGGCAGCACCGGCTGTATGCTCCCCAGGGAGTTGAGAAAGTTATTGGCTGGTTGCAATGGCCCTATAACCACGGATACAGGGTTCAACACCAACACCAGTCTGCTAGTCCTGGACTAGTAGATTTCAGCAAGGACTAGTGAATCACCTAATTACCTAACTGGTCCTTTGGACTTGTGAAAAATATAATTATTGTATGTAAATACTCCTTTTTTTTAAATTTAGAAAACTGCATAAAATAACATATAACGGTATTGCATGATTATTCTCAAAACTTTCCTCAAACTTTACCATATTTGTATGGCAGTAGTTATTTTAAGTCCTGTGGACTGTCCCCTACTTTTGCTGTTTAATGCTGTAGATCGCGAGGTTTCCATACATCAGGAAATCTGGGACAAGTTACATTGACAAAGGACTAGTAAATAATCTATTTAACTAGTCCTGTGTACTACCAAGCAAAAAAGGTAAGTGTCTAACCCTGGGAAAATGATTTGTGAACTGCTTTGAGACGACCTAGGAACTAGGTTGTGATGAAGCGGTATATATACATTTGTAAGAACCTCAAGTTATTATTATTGGCAACTACCAAAGTTTTCCCCAGGTCTGTTAACACCCAGAAATACACTCATGCTAGCCCCTTCCAGGGGTCATACAGGACTAGGATATACAATATAGTAATTAGTTC